CAAAACTGGATACACGATGTCTTTCCGAGCTTCCGCGGAGAAGATGTCCGCATAGACTTTCTCAGTCATATTCAGAAAGAGTTTGGAAGAAAGGGAATCACACCGTTCATTGATAATGAGATCAAGAGAGGAGAATCCATCGGTCCTGAACTCATTCGGGGGATTAGAGGATCTAAGATCGCCATCATCTTGGTCTCCAAGAACTACGCTTCTTCGAAGTGGTGTCTTGATGAATTGGTCGAGATTATGAAATGTAGGGAAGAGTTGGGTCAAACTGTGATGGCCATTTTCTATAAAGTGGATCCGTCTCATGTCAAGAAACTTTCTGGAGAGTTTGGAAAGGTTTTTAAAAAGACTTGTGCGGGTAAAAGTCAAGAGGATATTGAAAGATGGAGACAAGCTCTTGTGAAAGTGGCTACAATCGCTGGCTACGATTCAAGAAATTGGTTTGTCCTCTTGATTTCTACGGTCTCAATCTTAGAATTTTCTTGACAATTTTGGAAAATAAAAGCTAAATGCATATTTGAATGTTGTGATTTTGGTGAATTTTATGAACTTGTAAAAGCACAAAACGGAACTTACAGCAGCCCCCAAAGACAATCTTTTCTCAAGACATATAAAGAAGACATATAGTCTGCTTGTGGCATTTGTATAATCATATAACAAATATGTATGTGAATTTTTCATGACTATTGTACTAACGTACTCCATCCATCTTTCCTCTTGTAAGGGATAATGAAGCGGCCATGATTGAAAAAATCGCCACTGATGTTTCAAGCCAGCTGAATCATTATATGCCCTCAAGTGATTTCGACGGTTTAGTTGGGATGAGAGCTCATTTGGAGAATATGAATTTGCAATTAGGCTTCAATGAAGTGAAGATGATAGGTATTTGGGGTCCTTCCGGAATTGGTAAAAGCACCATCGCCAGAGCTCTATACAGCAAATACTCTCATCAGTTCCAACTCAGTGTCTTCATGGAGAACATCAAAAGACGCTATCCAAGACCTTGTTATGACGACTACAGTGCGAAAATGCAATTACAAAAAGAGTTCTTGTCCCAAATAATCAACCAGGATGATATCAAGATTGATCATTTAGGAGTTGCACAAGACAGGCTAAAAGACAAGAGAGTGCTTCTGGTTCTTGATGACGTGGATCAGTCAGCGCAACTAGATGCAATGGCCAAAGAAGCTGGGTGGTTTGGTCCTGGAAGTCGGATTATCATCACAACGCAAGATAAAAAGCTTTTGAATGCACATGGGATTAACCATATTTACGAGGTGGATTTTCCAGCTCACAATGAGGCTCTTGAAATCTTCTGCATGTATGCTTTTGGTCAAAAGTCCCCATATGAAGGTTTTGAGGAGCTTGCTTGGGTAGTTACAACACTTGCTGGTAAACTCCCTTTGGGACTAAGGATTATGGGATCTTATTTGAAAGGAAGGACCAAACATGAGTGGGAAGAAGAACTACCAAGGTTAAGGAAAAGCCTTGATGGGGAAATTGAGAGCATTTTGAAGTTTAGTTACGATGCCTTATGTGATGAAGACAAAGCTTTATTTATTTATATAGCCTGTTTTTTCAACCATCAACCAATTGAGAAAGTGAAAGAGCATCTTGCAAAGGATTTCTCTAATGTGAGGCAAGGTCTTCAGGTCTTAGGTGAGAAATCTCTTATATCTGACAGATATGGATATATAGAGATGCATGATTTGCTAGAAAGTTTGGGTAGAGAAATAGTTCGTAAACAATCCATTCATGACCCTGGACAACGTCAGTTTTTGGTTGAAGCTAGAGATATATGCAAAGTACAGAATAATGATACAGTTGTAAGTTTCCACATTAGTCTTCTCTTACGAAAGTTGATAATTAATCATCGTTACTTATGTGTATTTGTGTTCTCTTTCAGAGTGGTGGAAGTGTTATAGGCGCAATGATCAACTTATCTAAGATCGAGGATGAGTTAAATAGAAGATACATAGCCTTGGAAAGATTCTCTAGTCTCCAATTTCTGCGATTCAGTGACCATTATAATCAAAAAGTTAGATTAGTGGATTACTTTTATAATCAGTCTAGATCTACCTGGAAAAGTCTGAACAATATACCTCGAAAAGTTAGATTACTAGATTGGGAATATTTTCAGATGACATCTCTGCCTTCTAATTTTAATCCGGAGTTCCTCGTCGAACTGAAGATGCGTTCGAGCAAGCTTAAAAAATTTTGGAAAGGAAATAAAGTAAGTACTCCCTTCTTTTTATTATTTGTTTCTATAAAACTTTGTATACGAATCTATAATTTGTATTTTCGTACAATATGATTTAGCTGCAAAAGAAAAGAAAAAGTGATCAACGTAAATTGTTTCATTGTACAGACAATTAGAAATCTCAAGTGGATGGATTTGAGT